GACCAGCATGTGATGCATCCAGCCTGCGCAGCGCAAGTTTGACAGCCCTGCTTTAAAATCCAAAGTCCTGTACAGGCCCTGTTAGTCGCGTAGCAGTACATTGCAGTAGCCCATATATTCACAGTATATAGACTGATTTTGCTTTTTTTAAAAAGTGCCATTATCTTTATCAAACAGCTAGCCTTTAAGATGTGAGTATTATCTTTAAAACTCTTAATGGCTTGGAGTCCAGGTGTTTACTATCCACCTCAGAGATGGTATTCTATTTTCTTTCGGTTTGGTAGCGGGAATGTGCGTGTCTGAGCATGCGCAGAAGGTCCTTGATGATGTCTGTGTGGGTGGGCGGAGCCTCGTGCCACAGACACTACCGGTTTACCTGAACCAGTGTGAACCGGCAGCATACCATCCACTGATCCACCTGCCTGGTTACCTAGTGAGGTCTTTTTAAGGACCCTCTTCCTTCCCTACTGCCAAAACTAGAAGGGTTCTTCTCCTGAGAAGTTCTCTGGTGGGAGGACACACTCCCTGGGAAGTTGTGTTTGTCCCAATATTCAGGAAGATAGAAAAAAGGCATCTCTTCTAGCAAACGTTTAATAGTTAATGCATTTTAATGTTTAATTTCAACTCCCATTTTTACTATATTAATGTTCTCATTTTGTACATTTTTTAACTCACTGTTAAGTCTTCATGATTATTTTTTTTAAAAAAACCAACCAACCAACCAACCAGAAAAGCAGGGTGGAAATCTAAAATAAAATGCTTTATAAAATGGGCAGAGTTAGATGTTTGAGTAGGCAAAGGCAAGATAACCGAAAGCATAAGGGGTTTGCGGAGGCACCAAGCACGGATTTCTGAATTAGGGAAATGTGGAAAGCTAGTTTTCCTCCTATCTCAAAAGTGCTTTTTCAAAAGGCAACTGGATTGTTTTTTCCTTGAGGAAGTAGTTTTCGTCCTACTTGAAGAAGAAGAAGAAGTAGTTTTCCTCCCACTTCTCTTGACAAAAGGTCAAAACTAAAATTGGTGTTGTTCTTCCTCGCACATAAGGAACCAGTTTAGTGAAACAGAACCAAAACTGGAGATGTTTCAATTTGGTCTATTCTCCATTTTTACAAAAGTCATGAGTACAAATGCCAGGGAAATCCTCAATCAAGCACTGCATTGTTTAACGAAAAGATCAATGTAGTGAAAAAAGCCAAAAGCAAGTATATGCGTATAGTGATGGGTAGGAGAAAGAAAAATATCTGACTAAAGATTTCACTTCCATATTAACTTCCATGTATTTCTTCCCCAACAGATAACGGCATCAGCAAAGCAAAGTAAGTCAGAAGGGTGTAGAAGTGAGACCTGCAAAACATGTTGGATTTGGGGCTTCTAATTCTTCCAGATGTCATCTACTCTGGCTCTTTCTCGGGATATTCCCGCTCATTTTCTCTGCCTCCCTTCTCTCCTCAACCACTCCCTACATCCATGGTCTCTGAGCATGCTTATCTCTCAACATTTTTATTCTAAGTTGTTTTGCTATCTGCCAGACTCTTGGATCCTCTGAGCATGTTGGTTCTCACACCTTTTAAAGGTCCTATGTGAGGCATGTGACTTCATTGAGGCATTTTGTGCAATGCAAACAGCCTATTCTAAGGCTTCCCTTAGCTAGGAATAGCCTTCTGAATGTGTCTGCCAGGGGTGTCAAACTCAACGCATCAGGGTTGTGTTTGATCTCGGGGGGCTGGGAGTGGTCATGGTGTGTGTGGCCAGGGTGGGCATGACCAGGGTGGGCGTAGCTAGCTCGACATCACTCGTTGAGGCTCGTTTTCAGCCGCAACAGCTTCCTGTAGCCCTCTGCTGGCAAAAATGGAGCTCAGAGGGCTGCGAGTGCCCGGCCTGGGCTCCGTTTTCACTGGCAGAGGGCTGCAGGAGGCTGTCACAGCTGAAAACAGCGTGACCCGTCAAAACCGCGTTCCACAAAAGCGCGGTCGACGAAATCGCGTATGTGACGTCATCACAGCGCGACGAA